GACCTTACCAGGGAGGCTTAAGAGTGTGACCCCCCTGTAATTGGAGCACACCCTCCGGTCCCCCTTTTTAAACAGGGGGACCACCACCCCAGTCTGCATAGAACTTGAGTTATTACAAGTAATGGCTTGCATTATTGGTAACCAGAGAAACCACAAGGCTAATTTCACCTCGTGGGCTGATAACTGACATAAACTCAAATATCAGGCAGAAATATTTATACTTACATAATAAAAACGCACACAGGTCTTATACACACGTGATTAAAGAAGGATTGATAGTGGATGCTATCCGTGGATGGATGTTTTTATGCCACCGAACCACACAGAAGCACAGAAATAACTTGTTCATCTCCGTGAAAGTCGAACTACAAAAAACGAAGATGCATCATGGGTATTGTAGTGTTAAAACGCACAGGTGGACTTTTAACAAGTAGTAGCATTTTGTTTTAAAATCAACTCAGTCCTTTGAGATACAGTATTTTTGGTTTTAATGTAGTAACGATAAAATGTGGTGTTTTCCACCCAAGGTTATTAAACAATCAGCTTTATTTAGACTTCCTGCAGCACAAAGAGGGAGTAATATGAAGAAATCTTTTTAGAATAAAACAAAATGTTCAGATGAGCGAGGGATTTTTGTTACAGTGCTGAACATAAGTCACTAATCAGCAGAACAATAGCAGACTGTAAACTCAAACACTGACGCTCCTTTTGTTAACCTTTTACTGATTGTGTTTTATTTGGTCTCAAAACCTTTCTGCAGGCTGACATCTTAATTGAGCAAAACGCTGTGAGACTGCAGGAGGGTAACATTTATAATTCTATTCAAAGTTCAGGAGTGCAAGATTAACAAATAATCAGAAGCTGTGCAAATTTACACGACTGAGTTAATTCCCCTGATATTCATACCAATCAAAGATTTAGCCTTTTTTCCCAGCTTCTATAATTAACTTGCAGATCTGCCCACCTGCAGGGAATGTCTCTATGCATGAGGAAGAAAAATCATTAGATTAGTAAGCACAAAAAATTGCTCTACACCAAGCAGATTTTTCTAAATTAATTTAAAACAGGACAATTTAGACCAGTGGTTCGCAAACTTTTTGTCTTCTGACCCACAAAACATTCATGGCAAAAACTTGTGACCCCAAATATTACTGGTCTGAGTACACGAACTTCGTTAATAACCCTAAAAACACAGGCTTTTTGACAATCTAAACAGCTTATACACAAATATAAATACTTATTTTTACTTTATTTTGTGTTTTTGTAATAATTATAGGGAAAATATTACATCAGCAATTATTTTATTACCCTTTAAATTGATTTCTGGAGCTTATCCAAGGTGCTTCATGACCCATAATTGGGTCCCAAGCCCAACTTTGGGAACCAAAGTGCAGTGGTTCCCAAACTTTTCAGCTTTTGACCCACAAAATAACAGTAGCAGAGACATGTGCCACCAACTATTTTTGGATGATAAACATTTTTATCAGGTCAACAAAACTTGGGCATAGTATCAATATTTTTGTACTACTTTTATCCATTTTAACCTCACTCCTTTTGTAACAACTAAGGCAAAAATGTAATTAATTCAGAAAATCTTTTCAGGACCTCACCTTGATGTTTCAGGACCCCACTTTGGGTCCCAACCCCAACTTTGGGAACCACTGATTTAGACAATAAAAGCTGTTGGAAAAATGTACAGAACTAATATAGATTAGCTTTACTTGGATTATATATGCAGCTGAATAGCTATTAAAAAGAAAAGTGTCATTACTGATGATAAATTCATAAGTAAATGTTTATTAAAGAAGGTCTAATATTACAACTAGCTGTAGATCACTAAAATGTGTCCTTGACACCTTGGTTTTTTGTCAGTTAAGAGTTCAGGTCAGAAAACGTAATTTGAATGAAAAAAATGAGGGAAAAAAGAAGTCAAACATGGTCAAACTCATGTAGTAAAATGAACACTTACTCTTTGCTTGTCTGGATCAACATATCTGATGCCAAAGTAGTCCTTCTCCAGCAGGTTGAGGTGGTGACAGATGAGGTCAAACAGGTACTGTCCCTTAGCATCTCGCTGAAAAACAGATTGGAGAAATTTCATACAGCCTCTGTCCTCGCTCCCTTTTGTGTTTTTGCTTATTCAGACATCAACATCATTGGTGAAACAAACTGTACCTAAAAACACTCAGAGTGAAACATCTGAGCTTCACTCAGGGCACCAAACAATATGAAATACTTAAAAAAAATCCTAATATTGAAATAATGAAGACATTTTTTCTGTCTTAAATTTTTTCGGGATTGTCTGTAAAGTCCAAACAACCACCAGAAAGTGTTTTAATATTTCACTGTTCTCAAGGGAGATATCTGAGTCCCATCAAATATTCATATCAAGGCAGCAGCCATCTGTGAAAGCTTAAAAAAATATTCTGCTGCAGTAAAAAGACCTGGAAAAGCAGCGGGAAAAGGTCCTGGGTAAAGAAAAGATGGTCAGAAAGGGAAGGGAAGCATCTGTCATACAATGACTCATTTACAGAGTTTATTATATGAATAATATTTATTTAAACAAATAATAACTTCACTTGATTTATGGAAGATAAATGTATTGCTTAAGCTTGAAGAGGAAACAATAAAATAAAATAAAGTTTTTGTGATTCAGTTGGTTGGTTGAATGAAAAACAGGTAAAGGTGGCCTGTGATGTACCCCGCACCTCACACTGCTGGACATGGGCACCCGTGACCTCCACGACCCGGAAACAAAGAAGTGGATCAAGATGGGATGATGTGCTGTTTACCCGTGTGAAAATCCTGAAGGGTAATTTTATTGTTTCACCTTTGTGTTTTTAGTTCTTACTGTGGTGAAACATGTTCGACAAAGAAGTAAAGATCAAACGTTCACCTCAATAAATGAAGCCATCAGTTAACAAGAGCTCGTCCTTTGTGAGTTACTAAAGGGAGAAACACAAGGAGTTGTAAAATGGAGTTTGTGCAAAAGAACTAAAAAGTTGTTTTTTCGTGCTGGCAGAGGAGATTTTATGAAGTCACCTGACCCTGAGGTACTGTATGTGTGTAAAACTCTAGCTCATTGGTACAACAAATGTAGGTTTGTTATAAAACTTGTGCATTTAAAACACTGAAAATGTAAAATGTAATGTAAGGTAAGCAATCTACCAGAGCGTGCACAGTAAAAATGATTAAGTCCATCTAGAAAGGCCGGGATGTGAAACTGTGACCTTCTTGCCGTGAGGTGAAAGTATTGCTTCTTTTTAAAGTATGTATTATTCCTATGTTCAAACGGAAAAGGTCTTGGTCAAATTATTCCAGAACGTCTTATCCCTCTTTTTTTTTTATTACTGTACTACAGTAGAAGCTTACTGAATAGAAGCATTGCTTCTTTTTCTCCTCACTGTTTTATGTGCACATATACAATACTCTGCAAAGGTAAAGAACACAACGTAATGTCCCACCCTGTCCTTTCAGGGAGACACCGTGTTCTCATCGGTGACACCAAACTGCACCGTCAGAGAAAGTTAAATGCAGAAACGTGAGAACTGGAGAGGGAAGAGAAAGGCAAAACCTATCAGGAAGTGAGGGAGAACAAACATGTGAGAGACAGATTGTTGTGGCTCAGTACAGTAAGGCACGGCAGCAAAATCCCAAACAGGGAACAGAAGAATGACCGCACTCATGTTAGTGTCCATTCAGATCGGAGAACAAAACTTTCAGATAGTTTAATGCAGACAAAGATCAGCTGATAACGAGAACATCAGTCTGCACTTACTGACATTCAAGACCGAAGTGTAAATATTATAAATAATTCAAAATTACACATTTTTATAAACCATTCTGTCAAAAATCTGTTTAATAATAGAAAGAATAAACTGAGAGACTAAACTCCATCTCTCCCCTATCCTAACATTTGTAAAAGAAGATTCCCACACTGCATCCTCTGGCCATAATGCTTTTCTGTAGTTTCACATCTAAACGATTATGTTTAGATTCTGCACATTTACCCCTGAAATATTCCTTCATAGTTTTCTTTCAGATTCATAATTTGAAGATTTATTCAGTTGCAACATTTTTTTTTTATCGAGCAAATATACATCTGGAATACAGAACATACAATATGTCACAAATCATGTTGAAAAATTAGTTTTCCATAAATAAACTTAATTTTTGTTAAACTTTAAAATGTTCTAAATTTCCAGTTCTAATATGGATGAATGAAGATAAAGATAGATGGATGGGTGGATGGACAGAAGGATGGACAGATGGATGGGTATATGGATGCATGGATTGATGGGAGAATGGATGGATGGATGGATGGATAGATGGATGGGTATATGGATGAATGGACGCATGGATTGATGGGAGAATGGATGGATGGATGGATGGATAGATGGATGGGTATATGGATGAATGGACGCATGGA